CATAACACACACACACACACACACACACACACACACACACACACACACACACACACACACACACACGCACACACACACACATACAGACATAGTGACATCTTCGCGAGAGTAATCAGGGAAGCTTCCTAAGACCTCAGAACGTCGAGATCTTATGAAAACTCGATTTTCGAAAAACGGAGTGAATTCAATAACTTCCCGATTTTTGAAAATTTTCAATTTTCTTAGCATGAAGTTAAACATTATTTTTATTTTTTGAATCACCCTACACGGAGACAATTTCATGTTAACTGTAACCATCCTTATATTGTAGCTTCTACTATCCAGTATAGTTACTAACTTTTTTCAAAGTTAAAATGATAAATACAACTATCTGGCCTCGTAATTAGCACAATCATTATATATTATTTCCCAAAATTATGATTATACGGTTTACTATCTAGATGGTAACTTTTATTATCGGAGGTAGTTAAAATCGTCACCATTGCAATCATATAAGAACTACGATATTCAGATAGAAAATTTAATTATCTATGTGGTACAGTTAACAATCAGAATAGTATTTGCAATTATTAATGTTAGGTAGCTTGTTCTTACAATACTTGGATAGTAGTATTTATCATAAAATTCTCTCCGTTCAGTATTCATATTATAGAACAATTTAAAATTTTCTCAAATTACCGTTAACGATGAAGGTGGCGGGCTATATCGAGTCTGTACAAGATTAACAGCTTGAGAAACAGTTTGAGAAGGTATTTGAATTGGACTAGCTGTTTTCCGGAGACTTAAGTTTTCTGGTGCTGGTGTGTCATTTCTTTGGGGAGTAAAAACAGAAGTTAAAGATGGAGTATGCGATGGACTTAGGCTAGTATGTCCAGTACTTCCATCGTCAGAATCATGAACACTATTTTCTTGTTTCATCCCTACTATCGAATCAGTGTCTGCAACCATAGCACCTATATTTGAGTTGGTTGATGTATTCATATGAGGAGTACGAGATGCAGAAAGTGAACGTGAACGAGATCTTGAACGTGATCTTGCTTTAGAAGATTCACGAGCATCAAGTGAGTCGGAGTCATGATCTTCATTACTTGAATCATTGATTGACAATCTCAATCTTTTGGAACCTGAAAACAAAATAATCACATTTGTATTACTTTAAACCTAACTTTCGTGCGTTAGACTTAATAGTAGATATAAATTCTTATTTTTTAGTATTGATGAGTTTAATCATATAATAACTTTTCCTCAAAAATTAAAAATTATACCTAGAACTTCCCGCTTTAATTTTCAGTTGAGTGTTTTTAAATCAGATAATTTGTCCAAAAGTTATTCCAATATTGTAGCTTAAATATTTCTCTGGCGGTTTAGGCACCACTGCTGAAACTCTGAGAAAACTTGGGGTATTGACGAAGTTTAGGCAGTGTTTTAACCGTGGAAACGCGGAGTTTTGTGGGCAGTTGCAATACGAGATTCTGAAGTCGTTTTTTCGGAGTTTTCGTAAAGTATTGCCAGTGTTTTCACAGAGTACTCACGGAGTACTGCTAGTTTTTTTACAGAGTATTGTCCGTATTCTCAATGAGTATTGACAAAGTGGTGTTCTCATGGAGCGTCCACGGAGTATTGCATGGATTTTCACGGAGTATTCGCGGAGTTTTGCTGTTTTTTTCGCATGCTTTAAGCGCGATCGCGCGACTGGAGCCTAAAAATCAAGTTTCCTATCTCGTCAAGAGAAATTGTATTTATAATCCATAATCCTCATACAAATGTTTAAAAAAAAATTTTTGTAAATTTATTTTTCAAATTTATTTTTGTAATATCTCGAAAACTATTATAGTTACAGACACGGGCCAAAGTTCATTTTAAAGGGGATACTTAGGACTAGAAAAAATAAATTTTTTTGGGTAAAATTTTGCAGGACTCATGATGCGAAGCATCAGAGAGTGCTTTATGATCGAAAAATTTTTTTCGCCGCATTTCAGCAACTATTTTCATTATTATAGTCTTGTTAGTTCACGGAAACAAGATATTTTGCATACTATTGTCAAGAAAATTTAATGGAGATTAATTTGACACTGTCCAAAAATTGATTTAGTGCACTAGAAACGGAAAAAAATATCAAAATAAATTTCATAATTAAATGAGCATCATGAGTCGTGCAGTTTTGGATTTTTCAAACTTTTTGAAAAATCAAAAAGTGGGAAAATTTTGAAATTCAAAAAATCGTGAAAATCGAAGCCCGCTATAAAATTTTTGGCTCATTTTTTTTTTACAGAGTACCTCTTACTAATCTTAAAATATCCTGAAATTTTCAAGAGGGTGTTTTTTTTTAAAAGACGATACAAATTTTTGAATTTGGAAAAATGCATTTTTGATATATTTTTCATTTATACATATATATGATGTATAAAAATATATAAAAAATTGATGTAGGTACTCAAATAAAAGGTCTCGATGAGTGTAATGTCGGGGTGAGCTTATATCTTTAAAAATGTCAATAGTTCACAAGATACAAGGTCATTTCTTAGTTATGTATCTAGAGATAGAGCATTTTCAAATGCAGTCTAAATACTTATCATTATCATGATAAATTGACTATCGATTACACGGGAAAAAATTTCTGGGAAAATTTACGATACAACTATCGTAAAGCTGAACTATACTTTTATTACTATTAATTATCAAATATTTTAGAAGAAAAAATACTATTTATTCATGAAAAAATACGATATTTCTATTGTATAAAGTAAGAGATGAAAATTTCCAGTGCTGCCTCTGTATCTTTCCAATAGAACTATAGCAAATTTTACAATAGTTGAATTGGAATGTCTCTCAATTAGTGTGAGTGATGGCCGTGCACAGCGCTAGACTCTGAGTTTATGTAAATGTTAAAGGATATGGGTCTTAGTTTACCGCGGATGGCCTAGAGGGAGAGTCTCTTGCTGCCAACACAGAGTGCTGGGTTCGATTCCCAGATAGCACGAAAATATTTGTTTCTTTTTTCGATTACTGTATAGGTACCAATTCGTGCAACCTTCTATCTCTCTCCCTCCCTAATATTTCTTTTAAGGAAACCAACTGTGAATTTTTACAATAGTTGAATTGTAAAGTTCACAAACACATATTGTATAATTTGCTCTATAGCATTCGACTTTTTAAGACTCTTGCTAGTCTTGTTTGTTGGATAAAATTTACAATGGTAGATCGTAAAAATTACTAAATGAGAAGTATAGTCCACCATTACTATTTTATTTAGTAAAAATTACAATAGTAAAATAGTAAAAACTCCTTCAATTTTCTTTCCGTGTAGAATGATATGAAATCTTGAAAAGGCGCAAAATCAAGTCAAGACCTTTGCAATGACACTAAATTTCAGTAAAAAAACCGATTTTATCATATGACTATCCTGAAGACAAAATGTCTGTTATTCTCTTAATAATATAGATATACTTTTTTTAGTACGCACTCTTATGTCAAACATTAGAATGTTATTATATTTGGACTGTAACATCGAAAAAGTTTAATTTTTTATACTTCCTGTGTGGTTTTTATATGATTGCAATCATGATGATTTTAACTATCTCTGATGATAAAAGTTACCATCTAGATAATAAACCGTATAATCATAATTGCGGGAATTGATATCCAATGATTGTGCTAATTACAATCGCCAGATACTTGAATTTATCATTTAAACTTCGGAAACGTTAGTATAACTATACTGTATAGTCGAAGCTACAAAATAGAGATGGTTGCCGTTAACATAAAATTCTCTCCGTGTATGTACATAATTATATCTAATCAAATGTAAATTATAAATTTATCAATAATTATTGATTTTATGTTTTTTAGTGATTTTAACATAAATATAAGTACCTGAATTTTCAACTTCCCGCTAAGAGTTAAGTTTTTCGGCAGTTATCGTGACCACACCAGTTTTCATACATACATTTGACAGCCGGACGTCCACGGAATAATTTTTTTAAACATTTTTTTTATTTATTTAAAAAGCAAAATGTCTTTTAAAAATGTAATAAGTGTTGAAACTAGTGTTTTTCCATGACATTTATGTGTAAATATTGTTCTACAAGTGCGATAGAAAATAAATAGAGACAATTTTAGTTCAAGAAATCGCTTGATTTTTGTAAGGCGAGTGTAGAACACAACCTCATCCGCTTCGCTTATGAGGCGTGCAATAATAAACAGTGTTTAGATTCAAAAAATAAAATTTATAGAGTCGTTAATTTTTTTTTTTTTAATTTTTATCCGCTGTATTATTTAATAATAAAAATATTTCAAACGTGAATAAGATTTCAGGAGGTAAAAATTCAATTTCATCTTAAAAAGTAGAAGTCATATAAGCTTTGTTCTTCTTGAGTATACATGATTCACGGTATAATATGTCATCACTTTTATAAATCAAAAAATAATGATAAATGTATGAAACAGCATCTTGTATATTTTATCTCGTACATGAGGTACGAAAGGTGAAAGGCTAACAAATTTAGTGAAGCGAAAGATTGATGACGAAAAAAAAAAAAAAGGTTCGCAATTTAAACTGATAGTGCAGATGTTGAAAGTATACATGTCTACACATATGTATTTTATATTTATATATAAGTTTATATTTATGTATCTAGATACGCAAACTGCTTTTGAATAAGCTGCTTTGAATTCTTATTATGCGCAGGTGTATTTACGAAATTTCAACGGTGTTATTTATTCTTTGAGATATAATTTTGAATAATCTAAAATTGGAAATGTATAAGGAACTATTTTAGGTACGCAATACAATACAAATTTTTTTTTAATACAATTTTATTGAATGGTTTTACAGAATTGTTTAAAAAAAAAACAAAAATCAATTAATGAAGTTGTTTTTAATTATTAACTCAAACTATTTATCTTCAAAAGCCAAAAAAAAAAAAAAAAAAAAAAAAAAAAAAACAGTAACAGGAAAAATAAACTCATCTATCGGTAGAATTTTCTGTCAATTATTCCTGGATGGAGCAAAAAGCATGAATCGTCGGATTTACGCAATTTTGTTTACATAAATCCTGAATGGGGATAGAAAGCATTACAACCAATTCAATCGAGGTATTAACGAAATTTCATAGACCAAAGCTGAAAAAGGAAACAAAAAAAAAACTACGTATTATATTGGAATATTTATCGAATTATTTTTCGATTTCTACCTTTCAATAAATTTTTTTCAAACCGCGATTGTTTTCAATAAACAATGTTTTGTGCTTTTTGATCGTCAAAACTGAGAAGAACTATTATAAATTCAAATTGAGCAGCTTATCTGATTATAAAGTTACTTAGCACTTGTTAATAATTAATAGAGTTGTAAATCAGCCTCTATATAACTTTGTACTCCTAGGAGATTAAGGATTAATCCACGTTTTGAGTTCGAAACTGTTAATCACAGGGCAAATATTTAATTTAAAAGAGCTAATAGATGAAAAAGTACCGGATTTTTTGCGAATTAAAATAACCTTCCTGTAATAAATAGCTGTTATGCGAGTGTTTAATTGTAAAATACAGAGTAGAACAATAATAGTAATACAGTAGCTCCAATTTATTTGCGGTAGAACTCGTTAGCAGGAAACAAGTGCGTGTGAACTTGTTAAAACTAAATGTTTGGATCGCATGTTACACAATTAACCATGACACAATTCGCGGCATTTTTCTCTCAGGAAAATATACAACAAACATTCAAGAGCTCTAACAAATTTCCACACCAACTTTAAACGCATTATCCTTGTTTATTTATTTACTAGATTAATTATTTCAATGTCAAAAACTCGTAAACTCAAATATTTATTATTTACTTAACATTTAACCGTTTTTATGCACAATTAATATCAAATTTTGGCTAAAATATTGAAGATACAAAAAAGGCCCTTATAAATTTTATCGTAACTCCTATTTTTTTTAAACAGAATTTGAATCAAAAATTAAAACTTAAAACATTAATTAATTAATTTTTAGAGCAATTTTAATATCAAAAATTGTTCATCCCATATTCGCTTACTCTAGTCTTTTTTTTTTTAAAAATACGTATAAAATGTCGGATTATTAATAGTTTAATCATACTCTATATGCAACGTTTTAATTAAACTAATGCGTCCGCTCTTATCTCAAGTTATTTTTCTCTTTTTCATGCATAATATTCTAAAATCTAGATGTCATGATACCGTGGAGAAATAATAAACGCACTGATAATTATAATAAACATTGCTCTTTCCTCCAGTTGCCATATATCTGCATTAGTAATTGCTAAAAGTTACTCTTATTAACAAACATTAGTCAGGTCAATTTAAAAAGTTAGCACATATTTAACTTTCAGAATTTTTCAGAATTAATATAACCAACCAAACACGCGAATAGTTACACCCTGTAATTAATTATCAGCTCGGATAATTACCAAATTAAATATAAGCGTGTGACATATATTTAAGTTGAAATTGAAAAGTGAGTTATAATGATATTAAAAGCATTAGCAAGCAGTATCTGGTCTATTTATCCTAGAGATGTAACGGGTTGAAGGGTACTTTACAGGTTATTGCGGAAAGTCTGAGGGGTCTTCATAATTACTCTCTGAAATTGCAACTACTGTGTAATTTTGTCCGACACTCGACTCTCTCGACTCAACTTGTATTGCAGAAGTAACTGGAGAACACAACCCGTATACTTCTATATATAATATATAATCCCTATATTATTCTAGATAGAACTACTAGAACTATTCCGTTTAGTTACAGGGTTCAAACTTTCGTCTCATGCCATGCTCAAGCTACAAGCTCATTCAACTTTCCAAATTTTCTCTCTAATATGTCATTTTCCTTCAAATCGTCAACCACGGCAATCAAACCGCGAACAAAAAAGACCCTGTCAAAATTTGGACAAGCGTGCTACCCCTTGATGCGTGAATGTAAAATTCAATTTATGAGTTTATTTTATTAAAAAAAAAATCTTTGATGGATTTTATTTACAACCAATTCTTTATCCGACCGGAAATTTCGAATTTTTTTTCCTTCGTTTTAATTTTTTTTACCCTGATTTTTTTCTATTCATCGGAAACTTTTTCCGTCACGCTACTGCTGCATATGACACTTACTCAAATACATTATATCCGCTTAAAGAGTTTAGATCAATGTCAATCGAGAAAATATTTAATCTTGGTAAAAGGAAAAAAATATACGTAACAAGTAATTTACTATTTACGTTTCATTTTACGTCGCTTCGATTTGAAATGTAATAATAAATACACATTTTTAACTTCCCGCTAAAAATCTCAGATTTTCAAAAATCGGGAAGTTATTGTTTTCACCCCGTTTTACAAAAATCGAGTTTTCATCAGATCTCGACGTTTGAAGGTCACAGGAAGCTTCCCTGACTATTTTTACGATGATGGCTTGACCGATTTCATCGCGGTTGGTGTCATTCGAAAGGGCTTCACTAAACTTAGATTTCCTGAAAATTTGAACCGATTCGGACTGGTAGATTTCGAGAAAATCCAAAAAAAGTGAAAAAAAAAGTTTTTTTTTTTCATTTTTTTTAAATATCTCCGATTTGGCTGAACCGATCGGTCTCAAAAACTAATCAGCTCCTTAACCTTGAAAACCCCCATGGATCGCCACCAAAAAAGTCAGAATCGGTTGATGCGTTCGTGAGATATCGTTGTCGAAAAAAATCGAAAAAAGTGTTTTTTTGTAATAACTTCGAAATTCATGGCTCGATCGATTTAAACTTGAAAATTTTTCATGGAGCTTCAAAAACTGCGTCGATTGCCGCCGACCGCGTGAAAATCGGTTTATTCATTCGAAAGTTATTGCCGTTTGAAAATTAAAAAAATTGTGTCTTTAAACTGCTATTAGAGTTTTGAGCTCGAAGAGCTCAAAAACGTAATGTGTAGTTTGAAGCGTTTAAGTACAAAATGAGCGGGAAGTTTCAGGGATGGCCTTTAGGGTGAACCGTTTTTCTAATTTTTTATATTTTTTATACAAGTTTGTCCTTAAAAAAAATTTAATTACACGGAAAATAGTAATATTTATTTTACATTTTAAATAAAATAAATTTATTACTATATTTCCCGTAATAATTACTAGTTACATTTTGTTAATGAGTAAAGAATAAATATCACTGTAATTTATTGAAATGAAAGCTGTGTTAAATGCTATAAATATTTACTATAAATATTTGAGCTTTGATATGACTTTTAAATGTTTATAATTACAAAATATTGATTATTTAAAGTACCAATATAAGAGTAAATAATTAAATTTAAATTAATATTTAATCACATATATTGAAAATTGTAATAAATTAAACTTTTTTATTATGTATGACCATTAAATATTAATATAATTGTGAATTACTTGTTATTCAATTTCACGCCAACATAAAATTAAACAATCAAATTAAAATTAACATTTTAATTGCAAATTTTTATCATAGAAATTACGATTCAAGACAATGAAACTCTTCAAAATTATTTTCTTAGTTCAAGAATTTTTCTCTTGATTCAAGTTAATTTTTTTTTCCAGTGTGTGCATTATACTTGGTTCAAAATTTTTTCTTACGGATCAATTCAATTATTTTATTCTTCTAAACGTAATATTGCAATATTCTCACAAAAAATTCTTTCTACCATCTACCATAGCAATGATTACTATTTTCCATCGG